CTAGCTGCAAGACGCAAGAGTCTTGCAGGCTATGTCTTGTTCTTGCTCAAGTCTTGCACGGTCAGTCTTGGTCTTGGTCTTGCTAAAAATACGCGGTCTTGTTCTTGGTCTTGGTCTTGCAAAAACGCAAGAACAAGACCAAGACTGCAAGACCAAGACTGAATTTGGGCAACACTAATTCGATTTTACTTTGTAACTGCATTAGAATTTAGGTGAGAATTTTATTAGAACCTATTTAATATATAAGTTTTACTCTTGGTTTTGGTCGTGCGAATATAGCTATGCCTTGGTTTTGATCTTGGCTTGCTTCATTAGATGAAACTAAGTACTTATTTAATGAAAGAATCTGTTATTATTTCGTCATTGGGGTCGCAGGGTGACTTTTGGTGTGGCTATTAGCCACCTTGCTGTGTATGCTGTTTACCAAACTTTCAAATTTTTTTTTTTTTTCGTGGAAGAGGGGAAATCTTTAAAAGACATCCAACCGTTCGTACGACTGATGGGTAGTGTCGGATTCCCGAGGAAGGTGTCTGCGGACCTACCAACTAAAACACCTCTACCTCAGAACCTATCAATTCAAGTCCTCTTCAGCCGTTCGGGAAAGGGTGTGACAACAGCAACAAACGTTCAAATAAAAACCATCGCTTTTAGTCTGTTTTGATACATTCTTATACAGTAACTGGCAGGTGCGAAGTTCGTGAAATTATTCGGTTTTTTGAAAGCATTACAATCATCAACATTCATCAACAGTAGACCGACGTACGAGGGTGGATCCGATTGTACCTCCCAAAAATCCTTAAAGATTAAGTCTAAAAGTCTATAGTTGATTTTTTTCTGTAGTCTATGGATATAAATTATTCCATCTACGAAAATGACTGGATTCGTTCAAGTAAGCCATTCAAAAATTCGATAATGATAATATTGATAAGAATGACCAGATCTACTTATATATCAATTGGGGGTGTATCTCCAGTTACCCTTGACACATTTGTGCAAGTACTTTCATTCAAATATTTATTTTATTTTGGTATCAACGGTTTCTTTGTAGATTGTGAAAGCTGGCTATTCGATGCTAGCAGTGATAAGGAGCATAAGATAGAGAAAATGTGTGAAATATTGGTTTGTAATTGTATTAGAAGTAGGACATTAGGACAGCTGCAAATTATAAATGTCAAGATAAGATGACTACCAACTTCGGAGGAGATTATTATTAACGTTTTCTGTAATTGATTAAGAAAATTGTTAAAGATTTTTGTTTTCCATTCTCAGAGTGGGTGAATTTAGATTCATCTATAAATTTTGGTTTCACAATTTTAAAATTAAAAATTCTAAAATTGATTACAAAATAAGAAAAATTATAGTAAGTACTACGCAGTCTATACTATAACATAGGTAAAAATTGTTATATATTTGTTGTTTTATATACCCTGCAAAGGTCATTCAAGCATTTTTCTAGGCCAATTATTATTGCAGAATTTTGACTTGTTTGGTTATTCTTATTATTCAAGGAGAAAGTCACAAAAATTAACATAATTTTCTTTTCCCTCTTGTTTGTATAAAGTTAAGTCGGTATCTACACTTTTAGCACATTTTAATGATAACTGCAGTTATACTATTAGATTACAATTTAGATTATTAATTAATTAATATTGTATTAGGGCACCCAATATATTGTTAATACAAAAAAATGCATCTTTTACTTTTTTGTGTTTATTTCCTAGCATTATTTAAACTATTCTTATTTAATTCTAATTTATAAAAATAATGCAATTTGCTTACATAAAATCTTAATCACGTTATATGTATTCGATTTAGTGTTGCCCAAACGCAAGAACAAGAC